TTTGTTGTTAAATACATTGTTTTAATATCCCTATAATATCAATTTCAAAAGTTCACCATTTAATTAACTCTACTTTTGATTGATATATCTTTCATTATATTTGTATTGTAAATCTCGTTTTATTCTTTATTTTTAGTTATTCTTTACATTATTTCTTAGTATTTTTTTCTATTTATTTTGTTTATAACTATAAGTCAATCAGAATCAATAAATATGATATGTTCATGATGCCAATAAAATTATATTTCATTCTTCTGAAAAAATACTTCAAAATAAAACAATACTTGACAAATTAATTAACAATATTGTCCATTGAAATTATATGTTCAAAATCATTTATAAAGATACATAATCATTTATTTATATTCAATTTTAATATTTTGTATAAAACATTCATTAAATATAAACAATGAATATTTAAAATCAAGTAATGTTTTTGATATAATATTTTATTTATAGAATAAATATCAAAAAGAAATGATGTGATTTAATAATATAAATAATACTAATTTTACAAATGCAATGTTGAAATAATAGAATTAATTTAATTTAAACAATGAAGTATTGTTATTAAAGATATTTTTATTCAATATTTATGATAAAACAATAAATTAATATTATTTATGATAATTTCTTTCTATCTTTCACTTTTTGTTTATTTTATTTCAATATATTGTGATACTCTTCTTTGAAAAAAATGAAAGAATAAAATATAAATGAATATTCAAAGATGAATTGTAAAATGATAAATTAATACAAATCAAAAATAAAATAATCAATGTTTTGATTATTATGAATAATAAAAATAAGATATTCAATGTTAAAATTAAGAATAATATTCAACGAAATACTGTTAAAATGAAATAAATAGAAAATTCAAATACAATCAAATTATTTGATATATTGATAATGATGAATAAATTAATAAATAATACTTATTTAGAATATTATTTTATAGATGAATAATAGAAATGTCAATGAATATATTGATATTGATTGATTTAATACATATACAATTTAAAACAAATTTCATCAACAAGTTATATTGCAATAATTTATAATTTCATTTTTAATAGAAATGATGAATAATAATGTAGAATGAATATAAATTTAATTATATTCTTTATTTTATTTTAATAACAAATAACAATATTATTAAATTTAAATCAAATTATAATATAATAATGATAGTAAATATGAAACTGGAACAAAAATAATCAAAGAAAAAATGTATCTAAATAATTTACCAAAAAGATGCAAAAAAATTTGCATCCATAGAATATTCCACTTATTATATTTTGCTCATAAAATAAAAAAATTACTTAATTAAGTGTTAATAGATTTTTCATATATTCTTCCTAGTTTAGCCGAGATTAATCCCTAAGCTGTTTAAAAAAGAGTAATCTTTTTCTTTAACTTATCATTTATGTTTTTCTTGCAAATTGAGAAAATCACTTCTTTGTTTTATTTTTTCCTATTAATTTCTTCTCATCCTTCTTCTGCTTAATTCTTCTTTTTATCCTTTTGTTTATTTTCTGTCTTAATTTTAAACATTTTCTTTTTCCTTTTTTCTTAATTTTATGAATGAGAGAAGAGACTATTTCATTCCCATTATATTATTATGTTTAATTTTCTTTTAGTTTTACCCACACTTTAGTAGTTCCTTATATTACACCATGTAATATTCTATCATAATATCTTGCTACACCCTTTGCAGTTTTACCTAATACATTTCTAATTCAAATACACCGTCATAACCAGATAATAACTGAGAGAGTCAAAACATGAATTATATTAATGTTTGTGTGTGGTGTTTCAGACATGCTGTATTCTATCTCCCAAAAAAATAAATACATAATGAAAGAAAATTGAAATAGTTGAAATAAAAAGGTAATATTTTTATATATCAGAATCAATACCTCACTATTCAATGGTATTATGACTTCAAAACAATGATGTTTGAAACGATAAATCAATGAAAGAGTAATAACGATAAAAATAAAGGAATAAATATGAGAGAAATTGGAATGAAATAGGTAATAATTCGATGAGTTTTATTTGTTTTTAAACCAAAGAAATTCATTACAACAAAAAATGATAAAAAGGAATGAATAAGAAGTAATTAACAATGTAAAATTACAATGACGAAAAGTATATTATAAATTTATTTCATAGATATGTAAGTAACAATAAAAATGAAGTGAAATATAAAAAAACTGAATAAATTACAAAAAAACAGTGTTTTGTGTCGAAACAAATAATGTTTATAAGAAATAACCAATTAGAAAAGAAGTAATACATTTAAAAAAAACGATATATTTGGCATAACAGTTTGTATTTAAACAAATAACATATTAAACATTAAATTTCAAAAGTAATAATAAGATTTTATTTGAACGGAAAATACCTTGCAACTGAAAAACTAACTTCACAAGATAAATTGAAAACAGTTAGAGAGAAATTAAAAGGAAAATGTATGATTCACATCCCTTTTTAACAAAAGATGAAGAGTGTTTTACTAATGAAGATATAATAAGTAATGAATAAATTAATCGTAAAGAAGAGAAAAAATACATAAAAATGATCGAAATGAAGTAAAACTAATAGAAAATCTTAAGACATAATTTGAATAGACAAAAACATCACCAAATAAAGATACACCAAAAATGAATAAAAGAAAAGAAATATATAAACAATTAAGTTATTACCGAGACAAAGTTAAAAAAGAATCAAAATTATACTTTTACTGTAAGTATAACAGCACAAAAAAGACTGACGAGGGGAATATGTAACTAACTATTTGTATTGTCATAAAATATGTCATTATCCATGTTACAATAGATGAGATATGAAAAATTACGCTTGAATTGGAAGTAATGGACATTGATAAGTATATGTGTGTCAGTATATACAACAAGTAAAGTCAGCATATATATGAGAATGTAATAGAGAAAAAAACAAGTAACAACACAAGAAGTACTTGACAGTAGAATGAAAGTAAAAAAGGAGTTGCTGAAGCAGAAAGTGTAATAAAAAAGGTTAGATGCTAAAAGCAAAAAAACAAAAGAAAAGATAGTTTTAATTAAGTGAAAATAAAATAGTATTTGATTAAATAAGGAATAAAAATGATAATGATTAATATTGACAATTAACATCAGTCAGTAAGTTAACTGAAAAGAATAATATTTAAAAAAGCGATTAGTCTCCATTTAGCTAGGAAGAATAGAAACAAGTTGTATTAACAATTAATTAACTAGTTTTCATTTATTTATTTTAAAAAAGAAATGATAAGAAAGAAGAAATAAATCGGAAAATATTTAAAATTTAAACGTAATAATTGAAGATGGGAGAGAAATTAGAAAGAAAAATAAATAACAACAAAATAAATGGAAATAACAGGAAGAGAATAAAAGAAAAAAGAAATAATATAAAAAAGAGAAAAATCAAATAGGGGTAATAAACGCAAAAGACAAAAAGAGAAATAAAAAGAAAATATTCACATGAAATTATATAGATACGAATGAAACAACAATGATGTTTATATAAGAAGATAAAAATAAAGATAGAGTAATAATAACAAAAATGAAAAAGAAAGAAAAGACAACAAACATAAAATGATGAAATGTCATTAATGATAAAAATAAATACAAATAACATTACATTAAGAATGAGAATTTATTTTTAACTTTATGTAACGATAATATAAAAACAAAAATGTGATAAACATCATTGGAATAAAATAGAAAAATATAATTCTTCATTCAACAGTATTTAAAGAAGAAAAAACTAGAAAAAGAACAGAACATGTTTGGAATTGAAGATAGAAAATACTATGGAAAGAGAATACCAGAAAGATACTATGGAATAGCTGATGGATGTTTTAGTGGATGTATTGATTTAATTGAAATCAAAATACCAACAAAAATTGAAATAATAGGAAATTATTGTTTTGAAGGATGTTGTTCATTAAGTGCAGTTACTATACCAACAAGTGTTAGTGAAATAGGGAAATGTTGTTTTAGTGGATGTTCAACACTAAGAAGTATTACAATACCAACAAGTGTAAGTAAAATAGGAGATGGATGTTTTTATGAATGTGAATCATTACAATCAATTAATATATCAACAAGTGTTAAAAGAATAGGAAATTGGTGTTTTAGTTCATGTTCATCATTAACATCAATTAATATACCAACAAATGTTATTAAAATAGGAGAAAGATGTTTTAATGGATGTACATTATTAAAATCAATTAGTATAGAAGATGTAAAATATATAAGTGAAGAAAGAATATTTATGAATGAACCAGTGTTAATTAGTATTGAAATACCAGAAAAATTAAAAATGATAAGTGGGAAGAATATTGAAAAGAAAGATATTAATGAATTTGTTATAACAACAAGTATTAATGAAATAGGAAATGGCTGTTTTTCAGAATGTGAATCATTAAAATCAATTAATATCCCAACAAATGTTAGTGAAATAGGAGAAGGATGTTTTAAAGGATGTAATTTATTAACAACAATTAATATACCAATAAATGTTAGTAAAATAGGAGAAGGATGTTTTGATGGATGTCCAGAAGAATTAAAGAATAACAAAGTACTAAGAAAGGTATATTATCATTATGATGATGGTTGTGTCATTGTTTAAGTGAAGAAGAAATTAATTTAAAATAATTGAATAATTAAAGAATAAATAAATAATAATAATAAAAGTAGTTTTTAATGTTGCAGACACAAATGAGATTAAAGTAGACAATAAACAAACATCAAAAAGCACTAATGAGTATGTTTTGTTGTGATAACAGCAATATTCCATGGCATCAATCATGTTTTTAACTACAATTGTTTTTAACTTCTTTCTCGATGTCAATGTCAATTTTTAATTCATTGATTAATCTAATACTTTCTCTATTTATTAATCCATTTATTGAAATTACTACTCGATTTATTTTGACATCTTTTAATTTTTCTATTTTCATTAGGATATTCTTTAATTCCCTATACATATTTCTTTTCTTCATTTACACTCAATTAATATTGTGATCAGCCACAATAGTCATATCAAATAATAGACTAGTTTGATTCTTTTTATCTAATACATATATGTCTGGTATTTTGTGATATTGTCATTCACTTTTATGCATTATTTGTTTGTTCCATATCATTGTGATGTCTTTATATTTGAACACTGTTTCATATGGAGGTTTTTTATATTGTTTATTTCATGTATATTTTCTTATTAATCAATATAATAATGCATATATTGTCATGTTTCCTCATTTTGGATTTATTATGATAAATACAAGATATTAGAATGTGTTCTACTGTAGCTATCTTGTCTTTACAAAATGGGTAGTATTTCAACATTTTATTTTTCATTATTTTTGCTTTTCTATACCCACAAAATATTGTTCCATCTTGCATTTTAGTTAATTGAAGGAATGCATTCTTTTTATATTGATGGACTTCCATGCTTTCATTGTAGTAGTTTTATCTACTCATTTTGACTCGAACCATCTTCTAAAATATCCACTAATTTGATGACACTTCCATTTTTTGATGTATTTATCAATAATTTCTTTATTTCTACTACTACTACTTCTTTTTCTTTCTTCTTTTCTATCCCTTCATTTATTATTTCTTCTATTTTTGTTTCATTTATTTTATGAATTAGTGTTTTTTAATTCTATTCCATATTCCTTTCTTATTGTACCATCTATCTAATATGTTATTTCCTATTTCACTCTGGTACATTAGTACATTACTGTTCTAACTAATTCAATAACATATTCGTCCCTTATATTTATTAATCATTCATTTCTTCTATAATAACATATAGATTGTCTTTGGAGTTTCCGGCACCAATGTATTTTGCCTTTCTTATTTATTTTCTTATCTCAAAATCAATTTTATCTAGGTCAGTTATTTTCCAATTTACAACTGATGCTGAATATCTGAAGATATTGATTACTTCCGTGTTTATTCTAGTAATATATCTTCTATTACTACTTTCATCAGTGTTTGACATTTTATATTTTAAATAATAATGAAATAATTTAAAGAATGAATAATCATGAATATGAAATCGAATATAATAAAAATAATAAAAATAAAGATAAAATTCAATTTATATAACGTATCAAATATATATAATAACATAAGAAATGAATATAAAATAACATAAACGAATCGAGAATATATTCAAATAAATATAAATATTAAATATAAATAATAAATATAGATATTAAAGAATAACATCAGAAAATAAATTTTCAAAAAAGAAAAAATAAGAAAATATCAGAATAAACAATATATTCTAAATAGTATAATATATTTAAAAATGATATAATGAAATGTCATGAAAAATAAATAATGAATAAATAAAAATGATAAATAAAAATAATTATCAAAAAGAGAAATAACATAAAAACAACATATTATTAATAATAAACATGAAATTAAAAAATGTCATTATAAATTAAATTGTAATTTAAAGATTCATTCACTTCTCTTGAATTAAAATAATAATAAATGAAATAATCAATAAAGAAACTAATTGTTTTATAAAAACAATGAATTACTTCAAATTAACATAAAGAAAATATAATATATATAAACATGAAATATTTAATGAAATAATAATGATACTAATAAATAGTGGTATATAGAAATAAATCATAAAAAATATCCTTAAAAGAATGAATTAATCTCATTAAACAATAGATACAAAAATCATAATTAATCAATTTAATGTAATTATTTTTATTCTTCATTATTTTAAATTGATTTAATTTATTTTCTATCTCTTTCTTTTCTTTATTATTCTGATATTTTCTATAATAGATACTTTTATATTTATTTCTTTATCTTCCAACAATGTACTTATTTCTCAATTCTAATTACTTGTTGTTATTCTGTCAAAATCACAAAAAGAAGAAGAAAAATCGAATGATAATCTTAAAATTAATTTAA